TTCCATAGTCATCCGACCCACTCTATTTTAGCGACGTGGAGGAGTTAGGGGATAAATCGCTGCTTATTTCTTACTTTGATCAACTTGGTGCACAGTTATGGACATCATCTACCCACCAGTCATAGAGAAGTATCTTTCAAATCATGGTTTCTTTCATGGTCTCTATCGTAGCCCGTTGCCCAGCGAGGTGGAGTGCAACCTTTCTTAGCAGCTCTGACGAGATTACCGAATTTTAACATCATGGCTTGCGTCCTTCGATGCCGAATACAGTGTGTAAAACAGATAGGATATTCATAAACCACAATAAAATAACCCCTTTGAGATTGCAATAAAATAGAGAGCAGCGGACAATTAGAGAGGAAAANATAATGAGTCAACAGATCACGCAATCTACGAAAATCTTGACTTCGAAAGCGTGAATGCGGGGGAATTTCTTGATGACAACTTTTCAAATGAGTAAAATAGAATCAGGTCATCACCAAATGCAGAAAAGAAAAAGGTCACTAGAAATAGCGAGGAGATTAGCATATTCATATGAAGTTGAGGACAATAAGTGGCCCCTTAGTCAATCGATGATACAAGGAAGGAGAGTTCATTTATAAGCCTTGTCAATCGGGTGGGTTGGGCAACTATAGCAAGAGAAATTCGCCCAGATTCTTTTCGACCTATCTAATCTTTTACCGCTCTTTTAAAATACAAAACAGATGCTCAAGTCTGACAATAAAAAGTGTTCAAGACCACCCTCGCAGCTCTGTAAGATTCCTAAGAGCATGGTAAAGAAAGACTTGTTCAAAAAAGTATAGCAATGCAAGAAGTACCGAGAACAAAATAAGATATTATAGTGTATTCAATATCCAAAGGGTATATTGGTCTGATTTTTCCCTGTTAAGGCAGTCCTGGTCATGTGATCAATAGAAAATGAAAAAGTATAGCGGTAAAATATAGTTCCGTCTGACATGGATGAGATCAGATCATTGAACTGGAAGTCTGATGCGGCGTCATTTGCCATTGCGGCATGTTACTATCCGCAGAATACAGCAAAGAACAAAAGAGCTAATACTGAAAAAAAAATCGACTAAGCTGTGAAGTGAAGGTGCAGATATTAAAGTGAGGCAGCCTTGTAGGGCTCAAAGTGAGAGGTTCTCATGTAAGTTGCCTACTGTCCAGAAACCGACACCGCTACCACCGTTGCCAGCTATCATAATAGTATTCAAGTATCGCTAATGAATTTCTACTAGATATAATGAAACAATGCTTTCCAGAAACTCAGAAACCTGTTTCTGATGAGATCAATCTGAGAAAGTAATCTTTCGGAATTCTTATTCACTGTGGTCAATTTTTCAGAATGTGAAACTAGTTTTTTTTGCAGTTTTTATAAGCAAGCGGTCAGAGTGGAGAGATGGGAATAAATGGAGGGAATTTTATAAAAATCTGACACTCCAAAATTCTCTACTTATTTGTTTTTTTATAAGGACGAGAAAAAAAGAAGATGCATCAAAAACAGAGATGTTTGTTCGGTGGACAGACCGAAATTAACATGCATTCAGGAAGGATCCACCTGCACTTTGAACTTTGCACTTCGCAGGACTAACGAACGGGTGCGCGGACGATTGGACGGATAACCGAGTGCTCAATGAACATTTTTGTCATTAACCTCCTCAACGGATCAGTAATCATTGGTGCAACGGTACAATGTCCATTACAGACAATAAGACAAACAGAGCCATTAGCGCATCCATATACAGCTCTGGGTACAATGAATGGAAATAGCATACAGGTGAGCTTTTAAAAAACGAATGAAGGATAAAATAAATAAATGAAGATCCGCAACAGGATTAGCACAAAGTGTCTTGTCATAGAAATAAGAAGAGACGAAGAAAGTACGCATCTAACTCCAGTAATATCACGAAATGAATAGAATTTGTAAATCAGCTATGAGATCAAAAATCAGAAAGGTCAGGCACAAACAAATGGTTTTTCCCAGATAACTTCACTTAAAAAGGGCATAAGTTAGTCAAGGAGGAGCTAGTCATTCGAACGTATATCTCTGGCATTTATTAGCAACACCTTTTGCCACTGTACTAATTCCATCCTTGCTTCTCACTCAAATTGTCCTTTGCTTTGTATGGCTCGCTTGCCAACAAATTAAGGATCGTCTTTGTCGAGCAAATATTGCATAGAAAATACTGCTCTGCACTAGTGAGTGAGTGACTATGGCTAGCTCTGCTCACCGTTTAACGACCTGAGAAAAGCAACGGATGTTACGATCAGATATCTCACTATGGTAGGAGTCGATAAAAGGCGCTACCTACACAACTGCTTCCACCATTTTCAACATCGACTTTCATGAAAACCATCCCAGGGGAGAGGAAGAAGCAACGGGTAGCCCAGTCGGTAAAGCGCAGAGAAGGGGGGGGGGCAGCTTTGTTCGTGTATAATGGTACTTACTAATTTTTTCAGCCTTTCAGCTAGGGGGAGACTTAATTTTTCATCTAAGCATTGGAAGGAGAGGAGCACCAGGGTAGGAGGGATGATTATCTCGTGCAAAAGCTGGGGTGTAGGACGATTCGAATATTCGGTAGACCACTAATTCATTACTTTTCAAAAGCCTACACGGTAGCGTGTTAGCATACTATCCCTATTTACAGAGCATCATGACGGGATCGCAAGGCAGTCGCTCTTTTTCTGCGCTCTAGCGAATAGGGCCAAAGAAGAGAGGTGCCGTCTCTGGCGGAATCTCGCCTAACCTCATCATAGCGAGATCCACATGTACGTATTCTCATACCACAAGCACACAATGAGACAGCAGGTGATTCCTTTTCGTCTTTGTTTTCAATATTGCACCGAGGATTGTGCTGTTCAAAGAGAAGGAAAAAACCCATTTTCATGAATCAATAGAAGTTCATGAAGAACGTCCTATCGGAGCCGTTCAATTTCAAGTAAATTCGGTATCGTACATTCATATCATCCCAATCTGGTGCACCCCACAAGCTGTTTAATTCGTGTGACTATTCTTGTTTATTTAATTCCTACTGTGCGTGACTCGTCCGTCGGTCATTTTGCTTTTGTTTATCTTAGTATGCACTAGCAAACAGCATAATAAAATTAGCAAAGTCAAAGTGACTGACGAACGAGTCATACACTGTAGGAATCGATGAACTGTGTGTAGGTTGCACCAGAGGGGGGGGGGGGGGGGGGGCTAAGATCGATCGAAAGTCCAAAGTTCATTTTTCTTAACTGAGCCAAAATGAACACAATTGTAAGAGAACAGGTGAAAGAAAATCATTTTAGTAACATGGAAGAGCATTGAAAAAAAGTTAGCCACACATAAAACTGCGATGAAGAGGTTGCAAGATACAAACGTGGGAATCAGCCGGATGAGAGATTTACTACTTATTTGTGGAATAGCAGAGAGCCCCATGAAGACATGAACACACATAAGCAAATAGTGTGAATAATGACTGGATAAAGGTGAGCTGAGTTTCGATACAGTGAAAATAAAAGTTTTGTTTCCCAGTCCAAACGGAAACTTGGAGTGTTTCCCAGATGGGGAAACCAATACAAACATTACAACAAAGCTTATTTTGGGAATATCTGAGAAAGAACGTAGAGCGAAAAAAGAGAAAAAATGAAAAACAACCCAGGAGGAAGGATTTCCTCTTGCAACTTCCCTTTTGTACAACAAATGCTTGTATTTCAATGACAGCTGGGTACCCATAAAAGGCCCAATTTTGGCTATATAGCACCCAAGCTATTCGAGGAGTGATAATGACAAATTCAAAAGAAGATTATGATCCAAAAATCACCAATAAAGAAGTTGATCAAAGGCTTCATTATTGAGTGTAAAGAAAAATCAAGAAAACGACAACCGATGAAGCGAGAACTTACACTCCACAGTGAACCGAAGTGCCAGAAAAACGAAGGGGACGCATATTCATTCTGTTGCGTGGCAT